GCTATGTAACCAAACAGAATTGAAGGCTAAGAAAATTATGCGTTGTCTGAGCAATGACAATATTATAGTGAGTACTTTACATTAAATTTTGTACTTAATGGAGGGGTGGTGAATAAATTAGAGAAGAGGGGGGATACCTAGAGAAAGAATGACACATTTCTCACACAAGAAATGAAACTAAAAGTAATGACCAACCAGTGAACAAAGATTTAATTATGTCCTCTTTGGAAAATGTATGCTCCTGATGAAGGCATAAGGTCAAAATGTGGATCAAATATAACAACCTCGACAGATTCTCTAGAGTATACAGTCATTTAATTTATTTATAGTTGATGTAATGAAATGCTAGCTTCTTTCATAATCTGTAAATAGTCTTATATATTTGGACCCTGGATTTGACTAATAAAGATTGTTATTCAAAGGGAAGACACTACCAGGTTTTCTAAAATCATCTACCTCTCAAGTAAAATTGGGAATAGTAGAGCAATCAGGAATGAAATAAATTTTTATCTGATGACAGTGTTAGTTCTTCCCCCAAATATTTATTAAGCATAAGTAAATTTAATATGATTAAAAATTTTGGAGGATATATATATACTATTCAAAATAAATCTTAAACATGGATAACTATTTTTCCAAAAAAAAATCATGAATTTTTCTTGTATCCCCAGTCAAGGATCCTAAACTTCTTTACAACAGCATCAAGTGGCATGGCTTCACTGACAAAACCCACTAGTCAACATAACAGGCATGCTTGTTGTCCATTATGGTAACACAAAAGATTTAAAACTAATGCATATGCAATGTTCAGTATTATAAGTATCTGAGCCTAACAGGGTCTCCACTCATGTATCTGTATTAAAGCAAAATTAGAAAAAGTCTTTATCTCACATATGTGAAACTTATACCTGTGTCACACATTAAATATTAGTTTTATTAGCTTTATCTTTGTAACAACAAATTATCTTAATTTAACAAAAAACAAATAAATAAAAATTATGCTGCACTTTTGATGACAATAACTCCATGTATAGTTCTAAAGACACAGCTATCAACACTTACCCATTAAGCATGAGATTTGGGCATCTGACCTATTATCATGCTCACACATTAGTAAACAATCCTCACATTTTGATCAAATTAGCAGCTTTTTGTAATGCATTGTGGTTGGTCAACCAGTTGGATCCAGATCAAATTCAGTATTACAGGGATCCAGGAATTGTACCAGATAGCACCATTTTATTTCATTGAATACAAAATTCTGTGGTGAAGCATGCTTCCAGACCTCTCTTTGGCACTTGAAACACTTTACTGTATGCCAAAATTTTAATATTTCAAAAGTTTCTCTCGAACAGATTCCTAAAAGTTGGCAAACCCGCAGAATTGTTAGAATTTGTATAATACAAAGTAAGGTTCAAGACTCAAGCAGATGAATTGAGCCTTTACTATTGTAGCAATTGCACACACTTACATATATACAACCAGCAATCAAGTTGTTAACAAGGGGAACTCCTGAAATGTACTTGCAGATGTATGTTCTTAGAATCAGATATTTTACAATCAAAGTTTCAGTTTTTTCTTTCTGTTAACACAGGGAATGGCATTGCCCCTCAATTTGAGCACTGCATCCAATAAGGCCCATCATCAGGCATATAAAAAGTGTTTCACGTACACCCAACAAGGCCTATCATCAAACATGAAAATAACATAATTTCACATATTCCCAACCAGAACGATTATCAAGTATACTGTGTTGCACACACACCCAACAAGGCCTATCATCAATCATATGACCAGTAATGTTCCACATACATGCAACCAAGCCCATCTTCAAGCATAGAACAAACACACTTTCACATAGACTTTCAAATCATGCCATTATCAACTTATCCAGTAGATTTCAAAACAAACACATCTTAGGTATCAATGCAATGAGTTAACAAATCATCTATGACTGAGCTTTATAGCCAAAGCTCTCAGCTCCCTCCATTTTTGTGACTGACATGTTATCTACATAGCTTGCAGCCAGATTTCTATCTTTACTATTACAATAGTTATATTCTTATGTGGTATACTTTAATTGAAAAATACACATAGTAAAGTAGGAATAAATAAGGACTTTTCAATAGTGTCAGTGAATGAATTGGGCCTTATTTTGGAAAGATACTGTTTAGTTTAATTTATTTGAGTTTTATTGTACTAGTGTTGTAAAAACATCTTATTAAAGCATACATTATCATTTTCTGATATAATACATAGCCTCTTTCACATCTAGCATTTCTCATTCAGTGCTGCCCTCTGTATGTGAATTATTTTACTTGCCACTAGTCTTAAGGCTCCTGTCTGATCCTGTGGTTCCATGTGATATTGTTGCATGCAAATAAACATTCAACAACCTTCCACCAATAGGAATACAACACTGCTTCCTAGCACAGCTGACTCCCTCTATACTGATTGTTCAACCATCACTTCTCAATTGGACACTTGTGTGTTAAGATATTTTTTGTTATGCTTGCATGAGATTTCTCAACTTCAGCACTTGGTTGAAGTATCTACACAACTGGCTGTTGTGGAAATATTTTGTTTTTATTTTCATACAAATCTGCCTCTGCAAACTTTGTGACTCTTATTTTCCACAACATGAATTACACAGAGACAGTCATTTCTAAGCTGTCTAGTGTTGAACATCTGGACTTTGTTCACTTAAGACAGACTACTACAGTAGCATTGGATTCTTATTTGTCTGTCAGGGGACATGATGACTATTGGGCAGAGTGGCTGAGTCTTGTGTGCAGCGTGTGCCTTTTTCAGGCCTTGACATGGACTTCTCTCCTCTTATAATTCTTGTCCATATAGACATGGATTCTTTTCAGGCAATTCCTGAAGGGGGCTCATCTAGGTAAAGTTTGCACTGGCCCCTCCACCACTTCACTGTGGGATCCTAGGTAGATTTGAATGGAGGTTATGTTAACATTTTTTAACACTGAAAATTTATTTCTGATAGATACTTGCCTCCTCTCACACTTCCTACCCTTCCTTCCAATTTCCTACTTTCTTGCCTAATCTTGAAGTGATGATTGAAAAATCAGTATAAAGGGATCCAACTTTGCTCAGAGGTAGTGTCACACTGCTGTTGGTGGAGGGTTGTTGCATGCTTATTTGCATGAAACAGTGCAGCAATATTATGAGAGATTAGATGGGAGCATCAAGGCTGGTGTTGAGCAAAAAGTTTGCATATTGAGGGCAGTACTGAATTGGGAAAGCTAGATGTAAGTGTAGGTGAATATCTATTGGAAGTAGTGGAGAATGTTAACTTTCTGAATAGCTTTGATTTCTCATTTTCAGATTATAGGTCTTCTTAATGCTTTTACTCCTCAAAAGTCCTTAGAAGAATTTCAAGATGTGTAAGTGCTTTAGATTCTTTCTAAATTGTAAATAATTTCAAGCAGGCTATTTTTCATTGCTGTTTTATTTTGCACACACACACAATAACATCATAAAGTTTAGTCATATTATTCTACATAAAATACTTTAAAATTAAAGCAACTTTTTAGTATTTTTACTTTAATATTTATAACTTTGATAGAAATACATTTACCATTTTGTTCTTTGAATGGAAATATTTTATATTTAATGTGTTCTTTAGTAGAGCAGTGATTATATTTTTATCCAGGTTGCATTACATACTAGAGCTGATTATATGTGTATATGCATGATCATGTTTGAACCATAGTAAAATTGTTCACGTGAAATGGCTCCATATTATGTACTAGCTTTTAGATTTGCTGTCTGAATGGTATAAAATTTCCAAGTAATCAATTATTCAACTTTACTGAATTCAGTAGAAGTTTATATGCTGAATTAATTTTGTTGAGTTGTAGTTATAAAACCATTCATTTCTTCTTTTTTTTTTAGTTTTGTTGATTATTTTAAATGATAGCTCAGCTTTGCCTTAGTCATGTAATGCATAACTTCTAGTGGATTGATTGTTTATTCTTACATTTGCATTTTCACTTATACATGTCTGAAGCTATCTAGTGGCTGTCCTTATATACTTTGAATTGCATCTTGAAGAACTCAATTCATATACATCTTATAGTACTTCTGTTAATTTTAATGGTGATATTATGTGAACTTAATGTAGGAGGGAATCAAGAAATTGTATGATCTAATTCTACAATCAACAAAAGAAGCCATTTAGAATATAAAATCTCAACTAACTGAACTATAATTACTTCAATTCTGCTATTTCTTTTTACACCCTTTATTGATCTAAGTGGAAATGAATAAAAACATCATGAATATTGATCTAAGTGAATAGTGTAATTTCTTAAATAATCAATCTGAAAATAAATACATCATCATGTATATAAATTCAAAATTTAAACTAAAACATTCATCTCCAAAGTGAAAAGAGAAAAAAAACTACACACTTTAGAACCTCCTCTTATAATACAATATCGCATCCTCTTCTCCTACTTCCCTTATCTTATGGTGGCTACTTGGTTTGTGGGGAGGTGGGGGGGAAAGGAACTAATCCTTTGTTCTAAGTCCTTGCTCACAACCTTAGTGTGGAATACTTTTTGGCATTTTCTTTTCTTGTCTCCACCAACTTCAGCCTATCTTTTTCACCAGGTTTTACATTTCGTTTTCTCTCTGTGTGAGAGAGGCTCTTTCACTTATGGGGGCTCTAGCTTCCCTTGAACCCCTCATTCTTTTGGGACATGCCCTCCTGTAGCTCCTACACTGGACCATGTAAACCCAAAGTTTTCTTTCTTGGGGTCCTTTGTCCTCCTTTGTGAGCCTCTCTTCAAGTTGACTGGAGCTTGCTTTTTCTACCATTGCGTTCTCTTATCACCTCTCAAACCAAATCTCTCCCTTTCCCATTTTTGATGAGGACAATATTTCCAACATTTGTACAGTGGACAAGAATTCACTCCACATCAATATGCTCAACCTTCTTGCTCTTCATTGGGCATGTCGGCTTGACTCTTGTGCCCTGTTGGGTTGTTTAATTTTCGTTATAACAGACCTCTCCCTTAAGGGTCCTTGCCTATGATTGTTCCTATTCTGGGACCCCTCTTTTTCCATGGTCCTCTTTCATTCTTCCCTTACAGAATAGGTCTGTCAACTCCTCTGTTTACGTGTTCATCTCGGGTTATGGACGCTTGCAGATTATTTCCTTTTTCTTTGCATAAGATTTGTCACCTTTTTTTTTGTTCTCTTTCATTTCTTCTTTGATGGCTCTTGGATGAACTCCTTCAGGTGGACATGTGGACTCTCTTCACACATTCATCTCCTCTACATTTTCTAGGTGTTTTATCTTCAGATAATTTTTGTTTTCCACAGTTCACAATATTTCAAACAACACCCCCCCCCGCCCCCATTGTTGAGAAGAATACATACTATTTCTTTCACTTTATATAATCCCACCATGCGGTTGGTGTTGCCTGCCAGGATAACAGAAAGTGCTCATACCATCCACCCTAACTCTACATGTGCTCACTGTGAGGTAGATATATCTATATTCACTCTTTGTCCAATCCAGATTGTACCTGTTCCATGGAAAAAGCCAGCACCAGGGAGTGCTCTGCCCATTTCTCAGGCTTGTGCTTGCTGGCTTTTAAAAATAGAGCTTTGCAGTCACCCATTGCACTGTCTCCTGTAAATGACCTTTCTGGACTGAAGGACCAATGGGGACCTGGGCACCTTCACTGGGTCTTCCTTTTGCAAATCCCCTTCCAGTTCATCAAGTAGAGCTTGAAAGGCCCTTGCTACTTATCAATTTTCTAGCCATGGTGGACCATCAAAAACCCACACTGATTGGAACATGACTGCTGGAGCTATCAAAAAGAGTATTAATATGGTGAGAAGTTGGGAGGTGGTGACACTTTTAGTGTAGTTCAATTGCTCCTCATATATATCAGATACATCACTCATGTCACCTGTAACGCTCCTCCAGCATCCTGAGTCTGTCCAGTAGAGTTGAGCACACACACACGCACTAAATGACTTCCCCTCCTCTTGCGACCAATCTGTCCGGTAGGGTTGAGATGTGAACACACTAAATGACTTTGCCTTTCTCCAGCAGCCAGTTTGTCCAGTAGAGTTTAGGTGAGCACACACTAAATGACTGTGCCCCCCCTTCTCCTGCAGATAGAATCTGTTTCATAGTATCTGTTCAGTTGAGTCAAGGTGAGCACTTGCTATACAATACAAATATATATATGTTTAGTAGGGTCGAGGTGACCACACACTATACTGGTCCTTACTATCTGACTTATGTGCTCTCCTCCTGCAGCTTGCGGAAGTCTTGCAGAGCCTGACAGTAGAGTTGAGGTGTATACAAGTGTCCAGATTACATAACACTGTGTTCTCTTCCCACAGCTGATGTCAGTCCTGTAGAGTTTGATGGTTAAGATGAACACAAGGTATAGTCTGAATTCACCCTAACCACATTACACACATTAGCTGTTTGACAGTTTGTGTGCAAGTACTTGGATATTCTTATTCTAATTCTGAATCCCGCACATCCCTACAACATAAATTTGGTTTCTATGCCTCTTACCTTTTCCTATACAAGTGAAGAGTATACTCTGGACAAGATGAGATGTGGTCTCCCACAGGTGTGCATCTATGGAACTCTGCTGTTGAATGTTACACCCCATGGGTATCCCTTGGATGCTTTCTGAAGGCTGCCCTTCTAGGCAAGTTTTGCACCGGTCCCTCCACCATTTCAGTGTGGGATTCTAGCTACACTGTTTGTGGAAGTGAATTATTATGTTGGAAGTTAATATTTTCCTTACCTAAAAATATATTTTCGATAGGTACTCACCTCTCTCACATCCCCCTCCCCCACACACATTTGATGCACATCTTCTTACTTGCCTCATCAAAGAATGAAAAGTGCAAGTGCGTAGTAGGAGTTAGTGTGTATGGAGGTGCATCCCCCTCCTAGGGCTTTTGTTGCATGATGACATCATCATCATTCATGGTGAAATCACATGAAATTTGGTGAGAGTTGCCAAAAAGCTATTGGCATGCAAATCTGTTTGGCAGACATGCTGGCACAGATAGCTAATTTCTGTGAGGAGGTATATATTGCAAATGCATTTTCAAGGAATTTTTGCTTAACAGGATGCAGTGTGTCTTCCAAGAGCAGGGCCATACTAAGAGTAATGAGAGCTGTACACCAACATAATACCAACATGTAGGGGATACAAGTTTGCATCTTTGAAGGCAAGGATAGATTAGATTTGTTTAGGAATTTTCACAGGGCACCATGAATGATTGTTTAGTTTGACGTTGTAGGAGTAGATATTATCATCCTTTATGCTGAATTCATGACCTACTGAACTAGCACATAGCAGCACAAGGGATGATAAGATATGATTTTTGTAATGTGTAACACTAATGACACAATTGTATAGGATGTGGAGGTTGGTACATTACCATTTTAACCTTTGCCTACACCATTAGTCCACCATTACCACATGTATCACATTCATCTATGAAAATTGGTTTAGATCTGAATAGCAACTTAGCTGTAAAAAAGAATATTACATCTCATTTTATTGTAATCAACTGTGTTTCATGTAATATTCATTAGTTTAAGCCAGAATGCATGCAAAATTGGATAGATTGAATTGTTTAAGAGACTTGAAATAGTCTCAATAAGCTATAGCCACCAAGCCTTGTAAAAATAGTTTTGGTAATTGTATCTTCAGTGGATTAATTGTTTCACAGTGGTTTCACCTTGAAAGGTTTACATCTTAACTGTATACTGTATGTGTTTGCTGCCACATAAATATTTCCTTTCCTTTGGAGAATTTTAAGATAAAATTAACTAGTCAAACCTTATATTATCTATTCTGAAACATCATTAGATACTTAATTTCAAAAACTTTAGAATAATGTTTTTCAAAACATATTCGCTTTAGCTCATCAAATAAAGTGTTCAGAATATTTAAAAAATGGATTAAAAAATAATGAATTCAAATCTTTATGATTTATATGGATTTAAAGAGTTAGTCCAGTATATATATAGTGTTTTGTTTTGTTCTTATTCCATGATGTACAATGTTAATTGGAACTGTATATGATGTTCAGGTACCTTGTAATGGAATTAATGGATGCCAACCTGTGCCAAGTAATTCAAATGGACTTAGATCATGAACGAATGTCCTATCTTTTGTACCAAATGCTTTGTGGCATTAAGCATCTACATTCTGCTGGTATTATACATAGGGTAAGTATCTTCATACATAATTTACATAAATTTCAAATATTTCTATTTTAAACCAACTAGAAGGATATCATGAATTTTTGGAGATACGGGAGGGGTCGAGGTACATTCAATATTTCAGTTACAGAAAAAGTGATTATACTCTGAAAAAGTCCTAAAAACAGTAATCACAAAAAGACAATAGTTTTTCAGATAGTTACACATACTTTCATAGAACTTAAGCCTCAAAGGTGTGGATATTAGGAAGTTTTCTGTGCCACCTTGCCAGTATAAACAAATACAAGAAGTGCTGCCATTTGTTACTTTTTCTTTTATCTTTGCAATTCGTCTCTAATCAATAAATATGTATATATGAGACCCTGTTTGTGAACATTTATGGTGTATACTTCTTCCAAAACATACTTACCTCCTCTCACACTTACAACTATTACTCGACTGCCAGGGTTTTTTTTCTTTGCCCATTAAGCATTGGTCTAATTTTTTCTTGCTTGTACCAGTCTTTTATACCCCACTTAATTGCCATTGGTGATATTTGTCTCATGACACTTTCCACATACATCAATGTGCTCTCTATCCTGGTACTGTATATAAGCACTTCATTCAGATAATGTTATCATTTTTTCGAGACTGACTCAGTTTGTACTACGATTTTCGTAAAAAATATATATATGTTTATATATATATTTTTTCGATTGGCCAGCCAGTTTACAGTAAGAATTCTCGGATTATTATTTCTGGCACGGAAGCAAATCTCATCTCTCCTATCCCACTTCTGATATCTAGCATCACACAACAATTGGGGGAGGGGGGATACTATTGTGATCTGTCAGTGATCTTATTCATATTGAAATGGAGACATATATTCAGCTCTATGGTGTTCCTTCAGTGGGCTTTGAGACTGCAGTTGAGGGTGATCTTTGACATTCTGGTGTCATTAACAAGCTTTCTAGTACCATGATTGTGTGGAGATACTTTGGGTGTTCTACGTGTTACCTAGTTGATTCTCGTAAAAAAAAAATAGAATTCTGATTGGCAAGCCTATTTACAGTATGAATTCCTGGATTATTATTTCTGGCAAGGAGGCAACTCATGTTTCTCCTATTCCACCTCTGATATGATATCTAGTGTTGCACAACAATCAAGGAGTGGGGGGGAGGATGGGTTATTCTCAGTTGAGTTAGTAGTTACATGGATACATATATTCAGTTTCCTGGTGTTTTTCCGGGGGTGATATGCGATTGAGGGTGATCCTTGACATTCTTGAGAAAATGTAGATTTGCTTTTTCTTGTGCTTTCCTTTAGTCTGTTGGCTTTTCAATTTCCCTGTGGAACAGTGGTAAGTTTATGGAATTGCAATGCTGGAATCCTGACCAAATGTTGTTCCAATCAACATTAATCAACCCATTCTTTAAGTGAAATACAAAACAAAAAGGAGAGCACTTTGGGATAAGCTGCCTTTGATTTGTTTTCTTCAGTTGGTTCGTTGAGTGTAAGGTGTTTTGGTCATTCCACAGTTGTTTTTGAGCCTGCACCTTAATTGTGGGCTGCAAGGTCTGGGAGCTGATGTTTAGCATTATCTCCTTCCATGGCCATTGTGGTTCATGCAGGGAGGTTTACTTATTAGTTCAGTGAAGGGACAGTTATGCCTTATTTGACAAGGTTGTCAGAACTTTGTGATTTAGCCTACCACTGCCAGGTAGAAGGATATTCTGACTCTCACATAATAAATCTGCTTGAATTTTGGGGTTCTATGGCAGAGGACAGGGTATGTATATGGATTTACAACTTTACTGTAAACTTTTGTTTTCCTTATACTACACTTGTTGGAAGCATTTCAGGATCACCACCTTTGTTGATGATGACCTGGAACCATTGTTAACATGTACTTTGGTCTGATTGTTGGCTTCTACATTCATCCCTGTTGTCGTTAGCATCTGTAATTTCATTGGCTCCTAAAGGGGGTCTTAGTTCTGCCCCTGTTTGAGAGTCCCAAACCTCAACATCAGATCCTCGGTACCAGAATAGATTTTGTCTATATCCACTAGTTCCACTGTTTGGACAGATTGCCACCAGTGCCATCTGTGTTTATTGTATGCTTTCAGGGTCTGTGGGGGCTAGCCTTCGAATATTTCTGGACATAAGGTCCCCTTAACCACAGATCCAGGAGCACTACAGGTCCTTGAGTTCTTCACCACTATTATCCACCCAACCTGAAAGATTTCCATCTCCCTCAGATCTTTGTGAATTGCAATTTAATTCTAGGACTATCAGTGTTTGGCTGCTCTGGGGGTAGTGAGAGAATCGTGCTAGTTCTTCCATGGTTTTATTCCTGTTTGTTATTGGGCCTAGGAAGGTAGGAGATTGGTGTTGCACCATTGATTTTTTTTTGTCTATATCAATTCTCCAAGTTTCATAAGTTACAAATTCCTCAATCTGTGCTGATATTTTTTACTGGGATTGTGGATGTCCAAGTTCATTGTACTCATCTTCTATCTGCACATTGCCATAGTAGTGACATTCCACCACTATTGGCATTTTTTGTGCACAAGGGTCAGGTACTGCAGTTCAGGGTGTTTACCTTCAGACTACCACAGAATTCACATGGGTTCTGCTGAATCATATGAGTTTTTTCACGTCACCTCCTTTCCATAGCTCTGTGTACACACCATTCCATAAACAACTGGTTAATGCTGCCACCATCTCCTCAATTTTCAGAACAGCACACCCAGATTCTACTTTTAAAAACCACTAAGGCAGGCTTCATTCTCAGAGCTGAAACATCTATTCTTGCTTCACTTCAATATGTCATCAGTCTGGGTATTTTCTTTTGCATCTTGTCTCTCAGTTGGGCTCAGCTAACTCACATCCAGCTCTATGCTATGGAACAGAAAACCCGACTCTTACTCACCTCTTTTTCTCCCACTGCAAGGCTAGTTCTTTCTCTTCTGGGAATGTGAGCTTACTCAATTCCCTAATGCCTTTGGGGTGAGTGCACAAGTTATCCTTTTAATGGTCTTTATGCAATCAAGGGATCATAAACGTTGAATTACTGGCTTCCCCAGTTTCCTTAGTCATGATCATTCTTCTTTCTTGAAGGGTTGTTAAGTCAGAACACTACTGAGATATGGGTTCCTATATTGACCCCTTGTCCAAAGTTCCTTCTCCTCACGAATGCCTAACTTCAGGGATGGGATGCATGTATTAACAGTCATGAATTTCAGGGCATATGCATGGATGACTAGGCTTCCCTACACATTGTTTTTGTCCTTCTTCATTTTCTAAAAGCAATTTCTCATGGTCTGGGCTTATTATGGGGAAAATTGTAAGGCTTCAATCTGACAATTTCATGGTGGTGTCTTGTGTTGCTCATAGAGGAGGCACTTGGTCCAGGACTCCTTGTTTTCAAATTTTGGACCTCCTTTATCAGAATCACTTCTATCATATCACAATACTAACTTGCCATGTTCCATGGGTGATGACTGCAGTAGCAGATCGATTTTCTCAACCCATACAGATTTTCCAAATAGAATAAATGCTGCTTTGCAAGGTTCCATTGATTTGGCCCTCATTTTACAACTCTGATTGGTGGGTTGGCCTCTCATTGGAACATCCACCTGATGGCAAATTTGTCTCCAATACCTCACCTTAGGGCTTTGGCAATGGATGCATTTAGTCAGGATGGGATGGGATTGCAATTCTAGGCCTTCCCTCCAATTCATATATTACCCAAGGTACTAACTTTGTTTTGTACCAACCCTTTGTTGATAGCACCTGATTTATGGGTACACCCTTGTTTCTGCTTCTGTGGTACCTTCAGGAGTGTCCACCTATTCCACTTCTTCTTCTTAGGCCATCTCTGTTCAGGCAGCTATGATCTGACAGGTTCCACCTGGCTATCCAGAAGCTCCAGCTTCAGTCATAGAGGTTATGCAGTCTTTCATGTGGCATCATGGTTTGATTTTATAGGTTGGAATGTATCAGTCTCTTTTCTTTTTATTGCTTGATCACATGATGGGCATTTCTCAGTGGAAATGGCACATACATCAGTGATGGTGTATTGAGAGGAGGTTGAATCTGCTTTAATCAGAAGTATCAACCATAACTCATTTTCTGAACTGGCTCTTTGACAAGTGTTTTTCACCTTCCATAATTGCCCTGCATATGGTGGTCTTATTAACTACCATTTGATACAAGCAACTAAATATTCTTTGAGTCCTCAGTACTCGGTGGATTCATCAAATTACTTGAGCTCCATTCCAGTTACTGACCTGATATATTAAGGTTACATTACATGCTCTTTCTCTACACCTGTTTGTGTTCTGATTCTCATATGCCATATATCACCTCTACATGAAGGTTTATTTTTCTTTGTTGCTACCCTTCAGATACAGCTGGTAGGAGTGATTTGCACTGTTTGTCCACAGACTGATTTATCACTCTACCAACATCCTCAGACCAGTTCTACTTACCCAAAACTCTTGGACAGGGGAAGGGATCAATCCTTTTCACCGATTCATCTGATCATTATTTCTCACTTCTATGACTGATCAGATTTCGATCACTGTCATGTACAGTGAGTGTCTTGGAGGTTTTGTTGCCTGCACTAATGCCTTTTTGAGATGCTAGAGGATGACTTTTTATTCTGGGCTCTCTTTAAAGGTGAGGAATCTTCTGTGAGTCATGTCTCATCAGATTTGTTGTATTTCATGTCCTTAGCAGCACGGTTGAATTGCCCATTGGAGGACTGGTATGTGGATCTCCTCTAATACTTTTATCTCACATTATTTGCATAATCTGGCAGTATCTTCATCTGAGGGTTTTGCCTACCCCCTGTAGCTATCTTTTGCTAGATATTACAGAAGGGTGAGTACTTTCATTGCTATCTTTCAGGGTCCCTTACTTTGTTTTCACAGTATCCCACTCTGTGGTGAGTGTTGCCCAGGCAGGTATGCTTTTATCAAACCAATTCCACACTAGCAACACTATTTCAATATACTTTACAC